AAAAACCGGATGGACTCGACCTGGAGGCGGGAGTGACATCACGCAGACAGGCCACTGCGGCGCTGCTACAGTTGTTTCCATTTGGCTTTGTTTTGGTTTCTGAGACAAGCAAGGTCTGGCTGTGCAGAGTTCAGGCTGACCTCGAAGTATCAGCGACCCTGCTGCCACAGCCTCCCAAGTGCTGGGATTACAGGCCTCGGTCACAGCGGTTTATTTTGTTTCAGTGATACTAGGGAATGAACCCAAAGCCTTCACTAAGTAAGACACCCCCTCCCCAGCCTTTGTCTTTTTTCTTGTTTCTTCAATGCCAGGAATTAAACTCACAACCACACCCTCGCCAAGCAGGTGCATATGCCGCTGAGCTACCTCCCCGGTCCCCCCTTTTTATTATTATTTTTTATTTCAAGACGGGCCTTAAATCACTGGGCTGGCTTGGAATTTGCCATCCTCCTGCCTCGGCCTCCCAGGTAGCATCCTTTCCTTTCCTGAGCTGGGTGGAGCGCCCGATGCGCAATTTAATGAAACCTAACAGCAGTCACGCTTCGACCAGCGAGTGACGAGACACGACCGCGAAGCAGAGGTCACAAAGAATCCAATTCCGTATGTCGGATGTCCTGTCACGATGAATAAAAATAAAATCCTCTGGGCTCGCCCTAGTTCTGCTTATTTTTGTACTTCCTCCCACTGGGGTGCGGGGGTCAGCGCAACCCTGCTCTTAGCAATCGGGGGGCCGGAAGTGCCGCGGGGGCTGAAGCCGTATCTGGCCAGGCATGCCTGTGATAGGCTGGCTGTGGTGAGCATTTCCAAGAAGCCGCGCAGCAGTTAAGGGAGCTGAGCAATATTTACAAGAAACGGCCCACGCCCCTCCCAGCCCCCAGCCCTGAGGGCACGCCCCCTCCCGAGGCGGGGGAGAAAGGTGGGGTGTGGAGTGGGCCCTGGCTAAGCCACGCAGACCTCAAATGCCCCACAGCAGCCGCACAGGGCCCGGGTTCCATCCCCAACGCTGCAAAAGCAAACGTTCAGGACGAGAGTGTGGACTGCGTGGTGGGTCCGAACTTTGCTGTGGCCTCTTTTTCTGATTTTTTTGCATTAGGGTCAGGCTATGCAGTCCATGTTGGCCTCGACGTTGAAGGGATCTTCCTGCCTCAGCTTCCTAAGTGCTGGGATGACAGGCATGCAACTCCCTTCCCCCCAGCAGATTAGTTTGTAAGACAAACCAAATTCTGCCCTGGCCATTTCTTACCATGTGATATTGGACATGACACTTTTAACTGTGCTGTTATAAAGACTAAGTCAAACACCTTGATTAACAACGGAGCCTTGCTGTGCAGCCCAAGCTGACCTCCAACTCATGAAGACCCTCCTGCCTCAGCCTCCCAAGTGCTGGGATTACAGGCGTGCAGCACCACATCCAACTCACCTTTGTCTTTCTACCTACTTTTTTAATTTTTTTTTTTTTAATTGTATTTGGTACAGGGTCTCACTATGCAGCTCAGACTTTCACGTTTTCAGTCTTCCCCACCTGGTCTCAGTGGCAGGCTCGGCGTGCCTAGGGCAGGGCCAGCACAGCATATGGTGTCCAGGGATGAGCCTTGGTCCTCGGCAGCCCTTCTGCCTACTTTGGCCATGAAGCATTGACAATAATTGGGAGAACTCAGAGAGCTGGGAACTGAGACCGAAGCCAGAAAGTTGTTTCTTCCTAATTCTACTGCACAGGTGGCAAACACTGAGGAAGACCAGCCATCCACATGGGACACAGCCCACGCTTGACCCCGTCTTCCTGGTAGCCAGACCAGGAGCTCAAGCTCTTCGTCTCAGGGTGAGGTAAACTGCCCATAATCTAAATCCAAAGCCGATTACCAAACTGAAGTTCCTAGACAGGTGTGATGAGCCCAGTACCCAGGAGGCTGAGGCAGGAGGATCCTGGTTAGTTCAAGGCCACCCTAAGCTGCGTCAAGAGACCCTGTCTCAAAAAACAAAACCAGGGCTGGCAAGATAGCTCAGTGGTCTAAGGCAAGCACAGGAACCTGGGTTCAGTCCCCCAGCACCACATGCCACACTGGCTGGGTGTGGTGGCACGTGCCTGTAATCCCAGTGTTGGGGAGGCTGAAAACAGGACGATCACTGTAAGTCTGAGTTGTGATAGTGAGACCCTGTACCAAATACATTAAAAAAACCAAAAACAGCAAATTCACTTGGTGGGTGGGTGAAGCATTTCCTGATTGCATTAGAAGTTTGGAGCAACTTTTATTTATTTGTTTGTTTATTTATTTTGTGTTTGTGTGGCCAGCTCAGCCCACCAGGGGGCGGGGCTGGCTGGCATGTGGTGCTGGGGGATTGAACCGCGGTCCCTGTGCTTTGCTTAGCTTATTCTAAGTAGGTGCTTTAGACCACTGAGCCATCTCACCAGCCCTGGAGCAACTTTTAATTGTTCCAGTGCAAATTTACTGGACAGGGTGAAGCAAGCTGGGTATAGGGTTAAGGTTGGCAGTGGCAGGGGAGGAGGGAAAGGGTTAGGGGAACCTCAGGAAGTCACCCCAGAACCAAGAAATCCTTCCTTCCTCTCCAAGGCCACATGGGTGCTGAGCTGGCAGCAGCCCAGCCCAGGACAAGGCAGGAGTGCAACAGGAGGAGCACCCGAGATTCCTGCAGACCACAGGCTGCAGATGCAGCTGCCCAAGAAGGGAATGAAGCTGGCGTGGTGGCGCAAGCCTGTCCTTACAACACTCGGGAGACTGAGGCAGGATTGCTTCCAGTTCCCCACCAGACTGGCCTACCAAGGCCAGCCTAAACAAAGGAACAAGGTGTATTTCTTTATTCAATAATGCTTACAGTGGTTTTAAGGGAAAGTTAGGAGGATTGTTCTTTGTTTTGTTTTGTGGTACCGCGGATTGAACTCAGGAACCTGCACATGCCAGGAAAGCGCTTACTCTACTGAGCCATCTCCCCAGCCCTCTTGCTGTTAACTAAGGTCAGTTTTGTTTTGTTTTAATGTGTTTGGTACAGGGTCTCACTGCGCAGATCAGACTTGTAGCGATCCTCATTTTCAGCCTCCCCAGAGCTGGGATTACAGGCACACACTCCCCCGTTCTTTTGTGGAACCGGGGATTGAACTCAGGCCCTTGCGCTTGCCAGGGAAGCACTTATTCCACTGAGCCATCTCCCCGCCCCCCCCCCATCTTGGTTCTGGATCGACTCTGGTCCCTGTCTTGCCTAAGCAGGCGCTTAGACCACTGAGCTATCTCACGAGCCCTTAAGGTTAAGATTTTTTTTTTTTTAAATGTACTGTATTTGGTTGTCACATGGTCTCACTACACAGCTCAGACTTGTGGTGATCCTTTCAGCCTCCTCAGCGCTGGGATTATATATGTGCATCACCACGACAGGACCATGGGCCTCCCTGGGGCGCAGCTGGCACAGCATGTGGTGCTGGGATGGAACCACAGTCCCTGCGCATTTGCCTAAGTAGGCGCTTTAGTCCACTGGGCTATCTTGCTGTTCCCATCACTTTTTATTTTTTTGCAGGACTGGGGATGGAACTCAGGGCCTTGCGCTTGCCAGGCAAGTGCTTATTCTACTGAGCTATCTCCTCGGTCCCCATCCCCAGTCAGTTCTTAAAGACAGATTCTCACCACATAGTTCAGGCTGGCCTGGAGCTCAGTGTAGCCCAGGCTGGCCTCCAAGTGATAGCAATCCTCCTGCCTCAGCCTCCCAGACACGGGATTACAGGCCATGCAGCACCTCACTTTGGAACTACAATGTTGTTGCCAGTGCCATACCAGGCTACTAAAAGCAAACTCCAAGGGGCCAGGGAAATAGCTCGGTAGAGTTAAGCGCTTGACTGGCATGCGCAAGGGCCTGAGTTCAATTAAAGCATATTCCAAATGTTAGTTGAGCAACAGGCCTGCTACCTGTAGCTCAGCCCAACTCTCCAGTGACAGGTCTGTAGAGGCAGCCACTATTCTGTGCATGAACTGCCAGATGCAGGACAGCCTGTGGACCTCACCCTGTCCCCACTGCCTCCCCCAGGGGGATGGACCCACCCTCTTTTTTTTAAGTATCATTTGTGTGGCCAGCTCAGCCCACCAGGGGGCGGCCCTGGCTGGCATGTGGTGCTGGGGGATTGAACCGCGGTCCCTGTGCTTTGCCAAACTTGTTCCAAGTAGGTGCTTTAGACCACTGAGCCATCTCTCCAGACCCCACCCTCTTTTAAGGCCCCCCCCCTTCCCTAACTGCAGACTGGCCCTTTGCTAGCGCCAGGTGTTCGTTAGTGACTGCCTCTGCATGGACAACCAGGAGCCACAAGTTAAGACAAAAGGTTTTTATTCAAAAACAGCCCAAGTATAAAAAAAAAATAATTAAGATCTCTTTTATTCCCCTGTACAGTATTTCACTCAGATAAAACCAGCAGGGCCACATGCTGTTCAAAACAGCCCCAGGGAGGGCCCGCAAGGCACACACCATCCAGAGCCACATCCCGACCTCGTCCTATGTACAAACCAGTCTACTGACAACCCGCACCCCACACCCCACAGCCGGGGAGCCGCAGCGGCCATTCCGCCCGGGTACCATCAGCCTACACACGGCAAGCATCACAGCCCTCCCCAAGAGGTCCCCAAGTCAGAGGAGGAAAGGAGAAAAAACAAAATACCCCCCATCTTAGAACAGCAGTTGTGGAAGCTCAGAGCAGGAAGGAACCAAATAAATAAATAAATAAATACATAACGCTGACCTCCAGGTTAGAACGAGCATCCTTCCAAAAGAAAAAAAAAAAAAAAAAAAAATCAGAAAAAACACAGGTAAAATAACTTAAAGGCAAGACTGACTTAAAAAAAAAATAGATCAACTACAATCCTTTTGTATACTACCATGCCAACTGTACACACATTTACAGCTTTTCCGTTTGCATTGTTCGTGCATTTTGTGTGTGTGTGTGTGTGTGTGTGTGTGTGTGCGAGGTCCTGGCTTAGAAACAGGTTAAGTAAAAACCAAAGAGGAAGACAGGTTCACTGGAGTTTTACTATAGGAGGCAGAAAGGGCGGGCAGCTCAGCAGTGGGCCCGTGACCTCTTCCTTGGCACCTTTCTTATGAAGGAGGGGCGGGAACCAGGGACCCAACCCAGGCAGATTTTTGGGGAAGCAGCAGATAAGAGGCAAGTTCAAGTATTTCTCCCAGCATGGCCGGAGTCCCGCAGAAGGCACTCAAGAGTCGGAAGAGGTGACAGGGACTCAAGTGACGCCAGTCCTACCCTCTCCAAGCCCACCCCCTCACCGACCCGCCTCGATCAGCAGAAGGGGACAGCGTAGCCGCAGCAGGGCCCCTGCACCCGCCAGGAGGGGACCCAGAGCCCTGGGGTCTGGAATGAGCTGTGAACTGTCCCTTGTCAAGCACTGTCCTGCCAGGCTCAATGGCCAAGTGTCACTGGGAATCGGGAGCGGAGACTGGGGCTTTCCCTCCCTGGCAGGTCTGGTGGGAGGTGAAGACCTGGTGGCCTCCGGGAGGGGGCTATTTGCTGGTCCCCGGCGACAGGCTGTGCAGGTGGATCTCCGCAGTCCCCTGGGGCAGAAGCGCATCCTGCATCCACGGGTGGTTCTATTTGCTGGTCCCCGGCGACAGGCTGTGCAGGTGGATCTCCGCAGTCTCCTGGGGCAGAAGCGCATCCTGCATCCACGGGTGGTTCTGGATTTCCTCAAAGGAGGGCCGGTCGGATGGCCTTAGTGCCAGGCACCATCGGATGAGGTGCTGACACTCTGTGGGAGGCAGATGACACCCATGAGAGGGGGGCGGCACTTGCTGGGTGCTCCCTATGCAGAGCAGGAAGGCACAGAACCTGGACTCTTCAGCAGGCTTTGGCTAGAAAGCGGCTCCCCTCTTAAAGCCTAGTTTCCAAACTTCAACAGCCCAAGCCTTTCCCACGACACCCACTCACAGAAATGACAGTGATGACTCGATACTATACTGAGACACCACGGGAGAGCAAGAGTGACTCAATTCACCCCCAACTTGCAAATGAGACAACCACCTGGTATGAGCTCCCAGGGACCACAGTGCAGGGGAAGGGAGGTGGGGGAAAAAAGTGCAGATTTTCCCCCACCCTTAGGTGGTACCAGGGATCCAATCCAGGGCCTTTCCACTGAGCTACAACCCCAACCTCTCCCTTTTTTCCGGGACAAAATCCTGCTAAATTTAACTACCCTGGACCTGCCCTCCTCAGCTTCCAGAGAGTCCTGGAACTTAAAACAAGGAGACAGCTCAGTGGCAGAGCACTTGGCTAGCACCCAGGAAGGGACCCTGGGGTCTGACGCTCCAGACCAAAAACTTGACAAGAGAAACTAGGGTCTTGCTGCACCCGCCTTCTGACCTCCCAAGGAATCTCAAACACGTGTGATCCCGGTGCAACAGTTAATCTGGGGCCCATAAATTCTCAGCCACAGGTCAGGGCTGTGTCACCTGGAGCTGCAGGAGGAAGTTACCTGAGGAGACTCGCTGCCGGAAGAAAACCTGGCCCCGGACGATCTCCTCGTCGTGCTCAAAAGGGATGTCTCCGCACACCATGTCGTAGAGCAGGATCCCCAGGGACCACACGGCCGCGGACCTGCCGTGGTAGCGATGGTAGCGGATCCACTCGGGAGGGCTGTACACCCGCGTCCCTGCGCCAAGGGAACAACAGAGACCGCTCAGCCAAAACTGATCGCAAAAGGCTTCCTAATTGCTATATGTTTATCAATAAAACTGTAGAAAAAAAATAAATAAAATATACTCTTAAAAAAAAATTAAAAAAAAAAAAAAAAAAAAGGCTTCCTAACAAGCCTTTCTTCTAAATGCAACAGACGAGCATCAACATCCTCCTCTCTGGACCGGGCGAACTCCTGATTCTTACTTCCTGGACCAAGAGCAAAGTGGTAAAGTGACTGCTGGCTGCTTTCCACCCCTATGGGACCAGACCCTAAACTAAATAATCCTTACAAATCAGTCCAAAAAAACAAGCAGCCCCAGTGGGAGGCCGCCCTCGAAGCGGCGGAGGGAGGATGCAGAACGTCCTCCAAACCTGTCTGAGAATCTCATCACACATGACAGCCAGGCAAGGATCCTGGCACATCTAAGCCAGGGCACCCACTGGGAGGCTCTCCTCCGCACCCTCTAGAACCTGGGCTGTCACCCACACCCTTTCCTCCCCTGACTGGAAAAGCACAGCGAGCAGCAGGGCTGGCTTCAGACCACGTGATTCCTGTTTACAAACTTTGGGTAGTAAAAAAAAAAAAAGAAGTAATCCCTAGGGCGGTCACCAGGGGGCAGCAAAGACTGAAAGGGGGAAAAAAACCTGGGAGGGCCCTGGCCAGCCATTAACTGTGAAATACAAAAAATGCAGCCCAGCCCAGCGTCTTCCAAGGGCAAATAAACACAAACCACAAGCCCGAGTCACAAGTTTTGAAAGGCTGTCGTTTGTGAGGGTAAGCCGTTCCGAGGATGACCCACCCTCCCGCTTTGATCTCGGGCTCTTCTGGCTTCTGTTCTGAAATAAGGCACTCCAAGCCCCTCCCTAAGCAAGATAGATTTTCACCCTTCCTGCGGAGACTCCCAACTAATTCTCAAACCCGCAGATCTTATTTCACAACAAGCCACTCCTGACTGCCTTGCTCCACACCGAAAAATAAAAAATTTTACTTAGTGAAACCATTTTTCAGAACCCTCACCCTAAATCAAAGGCTCCGAACAGAAAAACTAAACTCCCTTATAAACCAAAACAGAAATTACGAAAACCCCCATCAGCGCCGTCTCTCTCCTCCCTCTCATCTCTGCCCCAGACGCGAAAGTGGGTCAGACTTTGGATATCTGGGCTACAGCCCGTGGCCCACAAGCTCTTATTCATCGGGAACGCTTGGAACCCACTGAATTCCACTGAATTCAACCATGCCAGCAGCATTACAGGTTCAGCTGGCCAGGAATCCCCGGTGGAGCCGGGAAACTCTGCTACGCCCCACCCCGGCCAACGCCGAGCCCGGCGGCCCAATGACCTTTACAAAGGCCTGGCTGGCGAGGCCGCGGGGCCAGGCCAGGTCACCTGGGCAGCTCCGCGGGGACAACTCACCATCGAAGTCGGTGTAGACGGTGTCCTTGAGCAGCGCCCCCGACCCAAAGTCAATGAGCTTGAGCTCGCCGCGGTTGAGGTCGATGAGGATGTTCTCGTCCTTGATGTCGCGGTGCAGCACCCCGCAGTCGTGGCAGTGGCGCACGGCCTCCAGCACCTGTCCGAAGAAGCTGCGGGCAAGCTCTTCCTGGAGGGCCCCCCTTTCCGTTATGAAGTCGAAGAGATCTTGTACCGGCTCCGGCCTCTCCAGGATCAACACGAAACTGTCAGGCCTCTCGAACCAGTCCAGGAGCCGGATGACGCCGGAGAAGCCCGAGCTCACTTTCTTCAACAGGACCACTTCCATGGGCACGCGCGTGCCATTGGGCTGCGGGGAAGGCAAGGAGGGCGGTGAGTGGGGACAAGGGAGATGGCGAGGCGCGCGCACTCCCCAAGGCCACCCACCCGGCTCCCCGCCATCCCGGGGGTCGCGCAAGGGCGCTCACCAGCTCGCCCCAGTCAGAGATCCGGTCCTTCTCCACGTGCTTGATGGCCACCTGCAACCCCGGAGCACAGCGTCCTTAGATCACCGCACACGGGCCCGCACGCGCGCCTGCCCCCCCCGCACGCCGGCGCGGCGCGCCCTCCCTGCGATTGCCCCCCGGCTCACCGGCAAGTTGTCGGCGACGCGGACGCCGGAGTACACCGAGCCGAAGCCACCGCTGCCCAGGAGCGGGCCCACCTGGTATTGAGACTCCAGGGGTTCCTTGTCCTTGCCTGGGGAGAGCAGACGCAGGGCGCTCAGCCCCGGCCCCTCGCGCGCCCCGATCATCGGGAGTCGGCGGCGGGGGGCGCGCACTCACCGGGCGCCAGCTTGGTGGCGTGCAGGTCGCCGCAGGGTGCGGCGCGCAGGTGGGCGAGCGAGTTGATCTTGGACAGGAGCATCCCCACCTCCAGGGCGTTGGCGCGAGGACGCGGCCCAGGGAGGCTGCGGCGCGGGATGCGGGTGGCGTTGCGGCGGGGTCTGCGGCGGGTGCGGAAGGCCGAGGAGGAGCCCGGCCCGGGACGCCGTCGGCAAGAGGGCGCGCGGACTCGGCAGGCGGCGGGGAGCGCGGCTGCCGGGGCGGGACGAGGGGTTCGCGGCGACTATGCTCTCTGCGGCGGCTGCTGTGGCTGCTGCTGCTGCGTATCCCGCCGCCGACTGCACTACGGCCTCTTCCACCGCCGCGGTCGCTGCTGCAGACGCCGGGCTCGCCCCGCCGCCAGGAGTAAAGGGGCGGAGCGCGCCAGCGGGGAGGGCGCGCGGGCGGGCGGGGCCGGGGCGGGGCCTCTCCGGGAGGCCTAGGCTGGGAGTCGGGCCGCTGGGCTGGCGCGGGGAGGCCAGGGGGCGGGGCGACGGCGGGACGCGGCCACTCCTCTCGGGCCCCACCCTGGCCCCGCCCCCTCTGGCACGCCGCCAGCCAACCAGAAGCGGGCTGATCTGAATAGCCGCGCGCGCCCCGCCCCGATGCCCGCGGTCGAGTGGTCTCTACGCCGCCACGACGTGGCGGGAAGGAAAAGGCGCCAAAATGGAGGGGGAGGGGCGCGGCGCGAGCGAGAGGGAGGCGGGAGCCGCGCGGCAGCGGCGCGGCGGAAGGATGGGGAGGGGCGTAGCGATTCAAACCCAAACAATAACAAAGCCGGCCGGGGCCGCCGGGCCGGCGCGGTGGCGCTGGGGCTCGCGCGGGCCGAGTCAAGGCTCGGGCCGACCCGGGTGGTCCCCGCGTGACTCAGCCGAGGCCTCCGCGGGTGGGCGACG